TATCAGACTAATGATCATTGCTTCATTATATTCCTACTTAATGAGTATGGTCAACTGAAATGGTCAAAACCAGAAAAAGTAATTCAGGCTCGTGCTTCCTTTACTTTAATAGCAGAGGTAATGTGAGTTTTTTTAAAAAGTGTTTTTAAATATTCAGCTAAGGAGTATCCCAGGGAAATCAACAGCTATATCTTTCATCATGCCCTCCTGCCATAACAGTGCTTTTTATCTGTTCTATGAAAAATAATTTCCATGTGCCTTCTCAATATAACTGGTATGGAAAGGGGTAAAATGAACTATTTCTTGTAATGTTTCTTAATTTTAACAGAACTATGAATCTGAGCATGACATCAGCTAAAATCAGAAATATTCTTTAAGTCAAATAAAAACTGGCAGAGTCATTCATTCAAGTTTTAAAAGGCTGTTCTATACCAAACCAATGCAGTGTGCAAATATAGAACTTAATTAAAATACTATATATAAAATATTAACAGCAGCAGCTATTAAAATTACATTAAACTTCTTTGAGCTAGGCCAACATAATATGAGTGTGCTTTTTCTTTCTCTTTCTCTCTCTCTCCTCTTTTCAATTTAGTAAAGGAGAAAATTTGGCTTAGTGGATGAATTTTGATTTTTATATTGTTCGTTCCAATTCACTAATCTGAAATTTTAATCACATAAAAGTACTTTACCATGAAAACACCACCAAGCATAGTAACTTAACCTTTCCATGGGATGACAACAAAAATCATGGTTTTATTTTTTATATTGTGAATAAAACTTTCTTAGAGCAGATTCCTGTTCTTCTCATAAAGAAATGAACTTTGTCAATTAAAGTAGATATTATCTGCTTTTGACCTTTTCCAGTGAAGATGTAAGTAGTGTAGGTAATAAACTATTGGTAGTTTGGATGAAATAAAGTACTTAAACAGAAAAAATATCTCTATTTTTTATTTGTCTTGAAGACTAAGGTATTTATCTGTTAAACTGCATTGCCACTTTCTCCTTATAAGGTACTTCAGTAAAAAACTTAAATTGTTTTTCTTTTATGTGTTATCAAATGAACAAGGGATAATTTTATGCTTTATATTCTTTTATATTTACTAACAATTTGGTATTAACCATATATTACTTTCATATACCTAATGAATGATAATACCTAATGAATGAAATATAACCGATCTGACATTTGTATTTTTTGCTTTTTTGAACTTTCAAAAGAAATGTACTGATTCTGATATATTCTGTTTCTATTTTAAGCTGTTAGAAAACCTGACTTAAAATGATCTATGACTGAAAGTTCTTTTCAAAATGTTATTTTAGGTATATCTTAAGTCAAATTATATCATCCATAGCCTAATATTTGAAAATGCTAGATTAGCTCTGCATCCACCCTCCTTTAAATTCTTGCTTAAAAGTTCTTAAGTAGCAAATCAGCTGTAACTCTGGCAGAGAGGTTGGAGGGAGCCAGGGAGAGACATTCCATTATTATATTTCTGTATCAAGAACTCTTTTCAG